TCGGAAAAGACTTGAAGGCACACAACACACACAATGTATATTTGGAACATTGGCCGTTCATCTCTTGCCAATGACCACAATTTCAAACAGGGATCTTGAAACCTTTTTTTGCAACATAACTGGGCATTTTCCCTCAAAAATGAGACAAAATGGACATTTATATTAAAACAATAGGATAGTCTGGAAATATGGAGGGGAGAATGGGACTGTCCTGTTTAAAATGATACTGTATGGTCAGCCTAAGGCTGGTCCCTGTTCCTTCTGGCATTGTGGGTCCTTCATGAAGAAATTTTTAAATTCCATTGGCAAGACAAAAAGAGATGCTTCTCTTGAAATCCAAAAGTCACCTCAGTCCTTTGTGAAACCAAAACCTCTTTTGTTAGGTGGAAAGTGCTCAATTTCTAAGGACGTTCTACATATTTATGAACTAGGAAACATTTTTTAGGTGCCGTTTTGGGAAAATATAGCAAACGTAATCCAAATTTATTTTTTAAAATATCATTCACGAGATGCTTTTCAAGATGCCAGCCACATATGCAGGTAAAACATCAGGAATATTTTTTTTCCAGAACGTGAACACATACCCTGGAAAACCCACAGAAAACTATGGATACTGGCCGTGAAAGCCTTCAACTTCACATTTTTTACTTTTTTGGAGGTAGAAACCTCAAATGGCAAAGTCCCAGTTTATTGGCCTTCTCTATAGATTTCCCCCGATGTGGCTGAAATGTGGTATCTTAGGTCCAGAAAGAGAGGCATTGTGGCATAGTGGCTGAGTGTTGGCTCTGGAGACCAGAGTTCGATTCCCAGCTCGGCTATGTAAACCCATTGGGTGACCTTGGGCAAGGCACACTCTCTCAGCCTCAGGGGAAGGCAATGGGAAGCCTCCTGTGAACAAATCTCACCAAGAAAACCCAACAGGTCACCATAAAACCCAACAGGTCACCATTGGAAAGGATTTGAAGGCACACAACAAACAAACCAAAATCCAGAAAACATATCCAGGGGTAGCCACCTTGGCCATGTAACAAAGTACATTCCTTGGGTTTATCTTGTGAGAAGCGCAGTGGAGTTGTGGTAACTCATGCTCAGGGTGGCCAGAGGTCCTCACTGCAAAGGAGGACAAGGCGCCACACAAATGTCGGACGTTCAATAAAAGATGGAGGGCATGACCCTATAAAAACTCAAAACACTCCTAGAAATGGAAAGTCATGCTCCTCAATCCTGCTCAAAATGGAGGATCTTTGGGAATTCCTCCTGGACAGAAAGTTGAATTGGGGCTTTGAAAGCTTATAATGTGTATTTTGTGTATGTTGGTTGGCCCGGTAAGGTAGCATTATTTGGCCAGTTGCCCTGAGAAATAAATAAATACTTCAACTGCAAGATGAGGGATGGACTGAAAATGGCATATC